AATGATTGATATACCAATTTCCCTGATTTGATCATTACGTATTATGTACACATACTGAAATATCATTGTGTTCCATAAATATATACAATTATTGGCTGGGTGCAGTGGCTCACGCCTATAAACCTAGCACTTTGGGAGGCCGAGGTGGGAGGATCATTTGAAGTCAGGAGTTTGAGACCAGCCTTGCCAACATGGTGAAACCCCATCTCTACTAAAAATACAAAAAATAGCCGGGTGTGGTGGCAGACGCCTGTAGTCATTCCCACTTGAGAGTTTGAGGCAGAGTTGCTTGAACCTGGGAGGTGGAAATTGCAGTGAGCAAAGATTATGTCGCTGCATTCCAGCCTGGGCAACAAGGTGAGACTCTGTCTCAAAAAAAAAAAATAATTATAACACAGTGAAACCCCGTCTCTACTAAAAATACAAAAAATTAGCCAGGCATGGTGGCATGCACCTGTAGTCTGAGCTACTTGGAAAGCTGAAGCAGGAGAATCACTTGAACCCGGGAGATGAAGGTGGCAGTGAGCCAAGACCATGCCACTGCACTCCAGCCTGTGCTACAGAGCAAGACTCCATCTCAAAAAAAAAAAAAAAAAAAGAAAAACGAAAGACAAAAGTAAAAATACAATTATTTTGTGTCAACTACAAATAAAGTTTCAAAAAATTTTTAAAAAGATTTTCACAGCTGGGTGTGGCAGCTCATGCCTATAACCCCAAGCACTTTGGGAGGCCAAGGCGGTGGATCATGAGGTCAGGAGTTCAAGACCAGCCTGACCACTATGGTGAAACCCCGTCTCTGCTAAAAATACAAAAATTAGCCAGGTGTGGTGGTGTGCATTGGTAGCTCTAGCTGGTTGGGAGGCTGAGGCAGAAGAATTGCTTGAACCTGGGAGGCAGAGGTTGCAGTGAGCCGAGATTGTGCCACTGTACTCCAGCCTAGGCAACAGAGTGAGACACCATCTCAAGAAAGAAAAAAAAAAAGACCAGGTGCAGTAGCTCACAGTTGTAATCCCAACACTTTGGGAGGCTGAGGCAGGCGGATCATGAGGTCAAGAGATCAAGACCAGCCTGGCCAACATGGTGAAACTCTGTCTCCACTTAAATTACAAAAATTGGCTGGGAGTGGTGGTGCCTGCCTGTAGTCTCAGCTGTTAGGGAGGCTGAGGCAGAATAATCGCTCGAACCCGGGAGGTGAACTTGGCAGTGAACCAAGATCATGCCACTGCACTCCAGCCTGGCAACAGACAGAGCGAGACTCCGTCTCAAAAAAAAAGACTTTCACTGATGTGCTCCTATCAAGTATTACCTTTAAGAATGAAACAGTTGGTAACTTCCTTCAAAAGGACATGCCAATTTTAAACACCTTTTAATTTTTATTTGCTTATGAAAAGTCTTTCAAATGTCAAGATTGTTTTTAAAAAGAAAAATTACATCTGAGCTGCTGGCCCCATTGTAGATTTGGTTATGAAAATAATTTAATGGTAGAGTTTGAAAAACAGGATTACTGCTATCTAGTGGTATTGAAAATTGGGAAATTGGTCTATCTGATTGTTGTTTGTTGTGTATCCTTGTTAGGGCTTTAAAGATAGAAAAAATCAGAACAGGAACCCATGATTCTTTATATCATACTTTACCTAAAAAAACAAAACTTTTCAGATGTTGTAAAGGTTGTGGATGAGTCTGGATATTATTCTCAGCACCTGATGATGTGACCATCACAGGTCCTTGGAATGAGGGCGATAAGATATGTGTGCATAGGTAATAAAATTACATATATGTATATTATACATATTTTTGTGTCTTAAAAATGAGGAAACTGTTGCTTTCCCAGCATTATACAGCTCCTAAAGAGTTCCCTATCCCAAGATCTGACTCAGAACTGGTGTTTTTTCTGTTTGGTTTAACCAAAGGTTTTTTGATTAGTATGTCTCAAACATTTTGTTAGGCACTGTAGCTATGAAGATGAATAAGGCATGACTGTCAACATGAAGGAGGTTATAGTGTAAAAGAAGATATAATTTTGATATAGTGATAAGTATTCTATAGAGCTGGTACTCTCTCCTGAATCAATCTTAAGGGAACACTTTTAGCTTAGTACAAGTGTTTAAGAAAGCTTCAGAGACAAACCCCACTCAAAAGATGAATGAGTAAAGTAACTTATAAAAGAGGCATATTCTCCTTCTCTCTGAGGCCTCCACTGAAGTGACATACTTTATATAATTCCAAGTTGTAATCATTTGTGTTTACATGTATTTAGGGATGGCAATGTACAGTAGAAAATGTAGTTTGATTATTTTCCAAAGATGTCTTGAGTAAAGTCTTCCTTCCCTACCAACCTCACCACTAGTATAGGAATAGTGGGTAAAATGTCCATGATACCGGGTCTCTTCTGTTTTCTGCAGGCCCCCTAGAAAGAAGTTTACCAGGGTATCTCTAAAGAGCTTCTTAGACCAGGTCCCTTTAAGAAAACCCAAGTGTCATCATGGAGAGGCCCTTGGAAAATTTTAAACTGCTTCTGTAAACTTGGGAGGATAACTCTTTTTTTTTTTTTTTTGAGACGGAGTTTCACTCTTGTTACCCAGGCTGGAGTGCAATGGCGCGATCTCAGCTCACCGCAACCTTCACCTCCTAGGTTCAGGCAATTTTCCTGCCTCAGCCTCCTGAGTAGCTGGAATTACAGGCATGCGCTACCGTGCCCAGCTAATTTTTTGTATTTTTAGTAGAGACGGGGTTTCACCATGTTGACCAGGATGGTCTCGATCTCTTGACCTCGTGATCCACCCGCCTTGGCCTCCCAAAGTGCTGGGATTACAGGCGTGAGCCCTCTTTTTATTTTTTTAAAGTACTTGCAGAGCAGGGCTACCCCACAGGCAGTATGCCCAGAGTAGCTGAAGTTAACTCTTGACTGCTCTCTCTTTGGGCAAATCCTCACTGCTACTCTGACCTCTGGTCTGCTGATGCTTTTGCCATTTTGTTAACACTGTTGGTCGATTACATGTTCATCTGTTCCTCTGTATCCTGACTGAGATGTACTCTCAACCTTCCCTATCCTGCTTGCCTGGTTCTTGACTGGTTTGGACTTGCCAAGGCCTCAGATTTCAGTCTCTGACCTGCTGACCTGACCAGTTCATGCCAAACCTTCTGGGTGACAGACATAGCTAGCCTTTTCACTGACACCACCCCAACTTGGCAGCCTCTACCTTGCAGGTAGTCCTAGGCCAGAGGATTGGATTGCTTGGTGATGGTAACTTTCACCTTTCTGTAACACACATGTATAGGTGGGGCACACCAGCATCTAATGAGGAGGGGAAAAGCCAAGGCGAGAAAGAAAAGAAGGGACACCTTCTAGGGAAGTTCTGGAAGGTAGTGAGGAGAATCTAGTATGTTTAAACACAGCCCTCAAATTCAGTCCTTCAGTAACTGTTTGAGTGTCTTCAGTGTGTCGGACATTGTGGTGGGTAATAGGGGCATAAGATGAATAAGGAAGCTATTTGGGATTGCAAAAAACTATTGATTCAGAGTGAAGCACTTTTACAGAATGTTTTTATCCCTCTGTTATACTTGTCACATAATTTTATGCTAGGTAAGGAAGTTTTCATGGACTAATCTCTCTTGGTATTATCCTAAGTGAGCTTCTAAGGTTATCATATCCAAAATATTGTTTATAGGTTGATTGAGTTATAGTTACTGACATGTGAATTTAGGCAATGACTAGGTCTAAATAAAGTCTTATCTTTATCAACTGTATCAAAACAGAAGGAATGATTTTCTATACTTGGCAAATACTCTCATATTCTAGAAATGAGACTGTCAGGAAAACTCCACAAAAGTGATATACTTAATGTAATTCCAGATTGTAATCTTTAGTGTTTACATGTATTTAGGGATGGCAATATATAGTAGAAAATGTAGTTTGATTATTTTCTAAAGGTGTCTTCAATAAAGTCCTCCTTCCCCATCAATCTCACCACTGTTATAGATAAAAATGATGAAGTTTACCAAATATTGGTTTTACTTTGTTAAGAGACTGTTGATGTTTTGGAAATCTTTACCCTCAGTGTGACCTGTCATTAGGAAACATTCATCACAGGTAGATATCAAAGTGAAAATCTTCCAAGGGCCAAGCAGGTGAATGTGTTGGGGTGATGATAGGTGATGAATACAAGAGTGAGAGCTTTACAATAGTATTATATCAAATATTATTTTAAAACCACAACGATGATAGTGCTGTGCTGGCCAAATGAGAAGATGGCAGAATTTACCAATAGCATTCAGCTTCTGGATGTTATCCTGGATACCAGGCTACTTTCTTGGGGAAATTGATTGGGAGATATACTCACATACAAAAAAAGCCAACAGAAAATGGTGCAATTAACAATGATCACCAAAATGTAGTCAGTACTTACTGTGTGAAATTCTCCTCTTAGCCTTTTCTTTAGAATTAGACAAGGCAATGACACATTCAACAGTTATTCTAAAAAAATAAGGATGTGTTATATGGGTCATTCATCTACGGACTGATGAACATTGATTTGGATGTGTCTTGAGGGACAAAAACAGAAACAAAAGCAGTCCGTTAATTTCTTGTATTACCTGAAGAAAAAGTTTGAATTAACCACATAAAATCTTCATTCCATATTTTTAGTCTCCAAGATAGGGTCTGGGCAGCAAGTCAAAGCAATGCTCTGCAAACATTGTGAGTAGATAGAACAACTCTGATTTCTTACTAACTGTGTATAACATATGATATACTTCTGGGGAAATGTCACTAGAGCTTATTTAAAACATAATTGTTTGATGATATGGAATTCAACTCATATGAATCAGATCAGAATAAGGTATGGTGAAGGATAAATAAATGGAAAAACTCATTGTAGCAGCAAGAAGAGCCTGGCAAAATCAACTCCTCTAAAGGACAAAATTGTTTCTTGATTTTAGAGATTTTGTTATTAGCAAGTATTATTTCTCTTATCTGTTATCTTTTCATAATTCTGTTTCAGGGTCTAATGGCTATTGATTGTCCACATACTGGCATTGTGGACTATCGGCAGGTGGCTTTGTCATTTGCCCAAGATTTCCAGGAAGCAGGTGGCTCTGTCTTGACCAATTTCGAAGTAAAAAATATTGAAATGGCTAAAGAAGGGGCTTCAGGAAGTATAGATGGTAAGCCATCTTTGTCTTTCTATTGAATATAGTCAGCCCTCCATATCCGTGAGTTCTGCATCTGTGGTTTTAACCACCCATGGATGAAAAATACTTGGGGGGAAAAAAAATAACAGTAGAACATTATATAATACAAATAAAATAGATAGTATAACAAAAAATATACCATTTACATTGCATTAGGTATTATAAGTAATGTAGAGATTATCTAAACTGTCCAGAGTATGTGCACAGGTTATATGCAAATGTTTTGTGCCATTTGATATAAGGGACTTGAGTGTCCTTGAATTTTGGTATTCGTGGGGTTCCTGGAACCTGTCCTCCTTCAATATGAAAGAACAGCTGTACTTATATTGATTTTTTTTTTTAAATTGGGATATTTTGGGGGGTAGTGCTGGTGAGAGGACCAGTAGGACGTAGGCTAGAGTAGGGTGCAGAACCAGAGGTAGGTGTAGAAGGGACAAGGATGAGACTGAATGTGAGAGAACTGTGATTCCTGGAGGGTCTTGTGCTGGTAGAACCAGGCCCTCATCCGACACTTCTGACTAGTGCTAAAATCTGAACTGCCAAAGCTGTTTATGGAAAATTAGTCTCCAGACACTTCCCTGCCCTGTATGTTAGAGTCAGAATCTCTTAGCAATGTTTGTTAAAAATGCCCTTTTTTTTTTTTTTGAGGCAGGGTCTTACTCTGTCATCTAGGCTGGAGTGCAGTGCGATGCCAGCTCACTGTAACCTTCACCTCCCAGGCTCAAGTGATCCTCCCACCTCAGCCTCCAGAGTAGCTGAAACTACAGGTGCTTGCTACTACATCCGGCTAATTTTTCTATTTTTCTTCCTTTTAATTTTAATTTTTATACAGACGAGGTCTCACTATGTTGCCCAGGGTGGTATAGAACTCCCAAGCTTAAGTGATTCCCCCTCCTCAGCCTCCCAAAGTGCCAGGATTACAGGTGTGAGCCACCATACCTGGCCCAATTTTTGTATTTTTTATAGAGATGGGGTTCCACAGTGTTGCCCAGGCTGCTCTTGAATGCCTGGACTCAATTGATCTGCCCACTCGACCTCCCAAAGTGCTAGTATTACGGGCATGAACCACTGTGTCTGGCCAGTAGCTAACATTTTTTAAGTACTTGATGCTTTCCAAGTATTAACTCATTTGACTCTTACAATTCTCTGTGGCAGGGTACCATTTTTACTCACATTTTTAAGGGTGAGAAAACTGAGGCACAGAGAGAGTAAGAAACTTGGCTGTGGTTGTACAAGTAGTAAGTGGTGGAGTTTGGATTTGAACTCAGACTGTCTATACCTAAAGCCCACATGGTTAATTACTGAACTATACTGGACCCATACCATGTTCCCCACAAGCTGAATAACGGGCAAGGTTTTCAAATTAACAAGATGCCGGTGGAAAGCTTCATTGGTTTAATGAAGACAGAATAGTCTGAGAAATTGGGTGGTTAGAACGAAGGAAAAAGACTGGCTTTGAAGCACAACAGGAAGGTGGAAGCTAAGAGGCTGGACTAGGAAAGTAGGACACCAAAGTAATTGCAGAGGGGAGGTCTAGGAAAGGTTGCTTAATCCTGACACTATTGATACTGGGGCAGATTATTCTTTGTTGTAGGGGGCTATCCAGTGCACTGCAGGATGTTTTGCAGTAACCCTGGCTTCTGTCCACTAGATGCCAGTATCATCATGGCCCCAAGTGATGACAATTAATAATGTCTCCAAACGTTGGCAAATGTTCCCAGAGAGTTGGGGGTGAAGAAATCACTCTTGGTTGAGAACCATTGCTCTAGACTTACAGTTAGACTAGTTTGAACAACCAGGAATAGAAATAAACCCATAGACTAAAGGACAAAGAACCATGAATTGAAGAATTTTGAAAGTTCCTATAAAATCAGAGTTTTGTAACTATGAATGATAATTTATTTGTATTTTTGTGATGGAGTTTCACCTTGTTGCCCAGGCTGGAATGCCGTGGCATAATTTTGGTTCACTGCAACCTCTGCCTCCTGGGTTCAAGCAATTATCCTGCCTCAGCTTCTCAAAGTGTTGGGATTATAGGCATGAGCCACTGCACCCAGCCTGAATGATAATTTATTATGCTCTTGGAAAGGAGAGAAAAATTTTCATATGACATCTCCTTTTTGGTTTATTCATCTACATAAACATGTAAATTAGTCTTCCACTGTGCTAGACTTTATCACTCCTAGGGAACACATGCTATTCTGGAGAATTGTTTTTGCCTTTCTCTCTCCATTAGAAGTCTGGACAGCAAATCAAATGGTAAAATTAAAATTTGCAAAAGTACTTTGAGAGGCCAAGGAGGGAAGATCACTTGAGGCCAGTATAAGACCAGCCTGGGCAACATAAGGAGACCCTATCTCTCCAAAAAATTTTAAAAATTAGCTGGATGTGGTAAGCACACACCTGTAGTCCCAGCTATTTAGGAGGCTGAGGCAGGAGGATTGCTTGAGCACAGGAGTTTGAGGCTGCAGTGAGCTATAACTGCACCATTGCCCTCCAGCCTGGGCAACAGAGTGAGATCCTATCTCAAAAAAAATTTTTTTTTAGGGCTGGGCACAGTGGCTCACACCTGTAATCCCAGCACTTGGGGAGGCTGAGGTAGGTGGGTTGCTTGACTCAGGAGTTCAAGACCAGCCTGAGAAACATGATGAGACCCCATCTTTAATAAACTTTTTTTTGAGGCCAGGCGCTGTGGCTCACACCTATAATTCCAGCACTTTGGGAGGCAGAGGCGGGTGGATCATGAGGTCAAGAGATCGAGAGCATCCTGGTCAATATGGTGAAACCCCGTCTCTACTAAAAATACAAAAAATTAGCTGGGCATGGTGGTGTGCACCTGTAGTTTCAGCTACTCGGGAGGCTGAGGCAGAAGAATTGCTTGAACCCAGGAGGCGGAGGTTGTGGTGAGCCGAGATCGTGCCATTGCACTCCAGTCTGGCTAACAACAGCAAAACTCCGTCTCAAAAAAAAAAAAAAAAAATTTTTTTTTTGACTTGCAAAATCCTATGGGACTCAAATGTCTAGCTTACTGGTATAACTATTTAGGTTCTATATCTCCAAATGGCAAACATAGTCAGTAGGAAAATTGGCAAACCTGGTGTCTATGTGAAGACCAAACAGGACTGAACTGATCCTTTTTATTAATAGCTGTAAATATGTCTGTGTAAAGCAGTGACCTGGGAGGTGTGGTGGCTCATGTCTGTAATCCCATGCTTTGGGAGGCTGAGGCTGGCGGATCACCTGAGGTCAGGAGTTCCAGACCAGACTTGCCAACATGTAAAAATACAAAAATTATCTGGGTGTGATAGTGTGTGCCTGTAATCCCAGCTACTTGGGAGGCTGAGGCAGGAGAATCGCTGGAATCCAATAGGTGGAGGCTGCAGTGAGCTGAGATTGCACCACTATACTGCTTTCCAGCCTGGGCAACAGAGTGAGCTTCCATCTCAAAAAAAAGGCCGGAAAAAAAAAAAAAAGGCAGTGAACCATATGGCTCAGTCTTAGAGAAGTGACCACCAAGGAGTAATTTCAAAAAAAACTTTTTCTTGTATATTCCTTTTTTTTTCTTCTTTTGAGATGGAGTCTCACTCTATTGCCCAGACCAGAGTGCAATGGCACGATCTTGGCTTATTCCAACCTGAGTTGAATCGATTCTCCTGCCTCAGCCTCCTGAGTAGCTGGGATTACAGGCATGTACCATCAAGCCCAGTTAATTTTGTATTTTTAGTAGACAGGGTTTCACAACCCTAGTCTCAAACTCCTGACCTCAGGTAACCCACCCATCTTGGCCCCCCTCCTCCTCCTCCTCCCCTCCCCTCCCCTCTCCTCCCCTTACCTCCACTTCCCTCCCCTCCCCTCCCCTTTCCTTTCCTTTTCCTTTGCTTCCATTTTCCCCATTTTTTTCCCTTCCCTTTTCTTCCTTTCTTTCTTACTATGAAAAGAGATGAGGTCTCACATGTTGCCTATGCTGGGTTTTTTTTTTTTGACGAAGTCTTGCTCTGTTGCCCAGGCTGGAGTGCAGTGGCACAATCCTGGCTCACTGCAACCTCCGCCTCCTGGGTTCAAGCAATTCTCCTGCCTCAGCCTCCCAAGTAGCTGGGACTATAGGTGCGTGGCACCATACCCAGCTAATTTTTTTTTGAATTTTTAGCAGAGACCAGATTTCACTGTGTCAGCCAGGGTAGCCTCGATCTCCTGACTTCGTGATCCACTCACCTCGGCCTCCCAAGGTATTAGAATTACATGCGTGAGCCACTGCGTCCACCAACCCAGCCCATGCTAGTCTTGAGCCCCCAAGCTCAAGTGACCTGCCCATCTTGGCCTCCCAAAATCCTGGGATTACAAGAACGAGCCATTGTGCCTGTCCCAAAATGCAAATTTTAGCATCAACCAGACTTACTGAATCCGACTGTCTGGAAATAGCACCTACTAATAAGACTTTAGTGATTCTTAGACAAACCCAGGTTTCAGAATGTCAAAATGACAGCTTAAGGTCATAAAGTGACCTGGCCATTTGGAACTCACCCACCTCACCCCCACAGTTTCAGACTGCGCTTAAAGTTTGTTTTGTTTTGCTTTGAGGGCATTAATTTTTTCTTTTTGTCCAAATGATAGATTTTTGAGCCTTCTGTTTGCTGTTGAGAAATTTGAAGGAGAAAAAAAGTAGTGTTCTTTCTACATTGACAGTTTTGTTTTTGTTTTTGTTTTTTTTTGAGATGGAGTCTTGCACTGGTGCCCAGGCTAGAGTGCAGTGGCACAATCTCAGCTCACTACACCTCGCCTCCCAGGATCAAGCGATTCTCCTGCCTCAGCCTCCCAAGTAGCTGGGATTACGAGCACCTACCATCATGCCCTGCCAACTTTTTTGTATTTTTAGTAGAGACAGGGTTTCACCATGTTGGCCAGGCTGACCTCAGGATCCACCGGTCTCAGCCTCCCAAAGTGCTGGGATTACAGGTGTGAGCCACCCCACCCAACCCTTTGACAGGTTTTTAGGGAGATCTAGGCTATCTGAATCATCTGTCTTTCTAAATTCTAAGATGATGAACAAAATTGTTAAATAATTAGGATTCCTTTAGGTAGGCAGCATAATAAATCAAATTTATGATAACAAGTAGATTGTGTTCTTCATCTGCTCTACGTATGCTTTATAAAACTTTGAGATCCCATGTATCTGAGTGGGAACTAATTTAAAAAATGGTCAGTTTTTTATTGGAAGTTTTTGTGTCGTGAGAACTCTTGCTTCTCTAGAAAACATGGAACCTGCAAGGAATCCAGTAAGCAACACTTGGATGACAAGGTTTCTCATATTATAGCTTTAGCTCTGGGGAAAAATACATACTGATTTATCATGATCCATTTTACAGTGTGATTTCCAGGATTATAGTTCAGAGAAAAGCTATGTCTATGTTAGAGGTTAGGTGGAGACTAATTTGTAAGTATAGATGAGTTAAAATTAAGCTAAAAACAGCTGGAGTGTTATATGTTGTTAAGTATGAATGTATTTAATCATTATTTGGTAAAAAGTTTCAGAATAAACTGTAGGGTGCAATCATAATGACAGGAAAAAATTATTTACATTTGTTACCAGTATAATATTTCAAATCATGTTGGCCTAAAAAAATGTTTTACTTATTCTTTTTTTCAGAAATGAAATATCTGATTGTTATAAAGAATACAAAGGTAAAGATTCTTAAGCAAAACTGCTGGTTACTTTCTTTCCCTCCCCTTTCTTAAAAATTAAATTAATCCACAGTGCTGTATTTTAAGTTATTGAATGACGTTTGTCTGATATAAAAGTAATGAGAGAATTTCTTTTAGGGCAGTTTAGCAGCTTTTCTTTTAAGGAGGGTTTGAACTTGGAATGTCCTCATAAAGTGGCTGTGCTGGCAAAGAACAAGATTATAAGCATATGCAGTATTTAATTTTAGGGCAAAACTGATAGATATTTTATCACTCTGCCTACTGAGCTCCACTAACTTATTAACTCTATAAATTAGAAGACTTCGTTAGAGAGAGTATGCAGGTTGTACAGAGGGAGATGGACTGCTTTCTTTCATCTTCATATAGACCTGAAGCAAGAACCACTGAATGGCATAGAAGCAGTGAATTCCTTGTAGGTTCGCTGCATTAGGTTGTATGCAAGGGAGCAGAGTCATTAATGACTGCTATAGAATTTATTATGGGAATAAGACCTTACACAATTGTGGAAGTTTCTGGGGAAGCAGAGAATCAGAAGAAAGTTGATGGATCAGTAATTGGGAAACAGACCTGAATATGGAGCTGGAATTCACTGGACAGTGGGTATCCTTTTTGTCATCTCATTGGACTAGGACAACCTTCAGAGAATAATGCCTGCTGACTTACTTTTGCCACCAGATTATATGCAGCTCCTGTTTTCATCAACTTTAAGTTGGAACCGTCTGAAGAGAAGGGGATTCTGTCGAGCATAGTTCCCAGCTTAACCAAATGGACCCTGTACAAATCCGTATAGTTTACCCTTTGTCAACCTGACATCCATCCATGCCCTTTATAACTTTAGAAGCAGATTAGCTTCCAAATAAAGACAGTAGTAAAAGTATGTTTTTACCTAACAAGGTATAACTATCCTTCATAGGATTGAAGACATGCTAATTAACTCTCAAAAAATATACAAAATTGGGCTGGGTGCAGTGGCTCACGCCTATAATCCCAGCACATTGAGAGGCCGAGGCAGGCAGATCACGAGGTCAGGAGATCAAGACCATCCTAACCAACATGGTAAAACCTCTTCTCTACTAAAAATACAGAAAAATTAGCTGGACGTGGTGGTGTGCCCCTGTAGTCCCAGCTACTCCAGAGGCTGAGGCAGGAGAATTGCTTGAACCCGAGAGGTGGAGGTTGCAGTGAGCCGAGATTGCGCCACTGCACTTCAGCCTGGTGACAGCACGAGACTCCGTTTCAAAAAAGGTTACAGGCTGGGCATGGTGGCTCACGTCTGTAATTTAAGCACTTTGGAGACCAATGCGAGCAGATCACCTGAGTTTGTGAGTTCAAGACCAGCCTGACCCACATGGCGAAACCCCGTCTTTAAAAAAAAAAAAAGTTACAAAGTCTACTTTATCCATCCTGGATTATGTTTAATTTTTTTCTAGTTGAGTTACACACCCCCTCTGAGATCCTGTGACTTAAATGCTAAGATATAAGGTTAACCACTATTTAAGCATTTTAGATTAGTAGTTCTCAACTTGAAGCAGTTTTGCTCCTCAGGGAGCATTTGGCAATGTTTGGAGGCATTTTGTTTTTTTTTTTTTTTTTTGAAACAGCATTTTACTCTTGTTGCCTAGGCTGGAGTGCGATGGTACAATCTCAGTTCACCCCAGCCTCCACCTCCCGGGTTCAAGTGATTATCCTGCCTCAGCCTTGCTAGTAGTTGAAATTATAGGCATGTGCCACCACACTCAGCTAATTTTGTATTTTTAATAGAGACAGGATTTCTCCATGTTGTTCAGGCTGATCTTGAACTCCCGACCTCAGGTGATCCACCCACCTCAGCCCCCCAAAGTGCTGGGATTATAGATGTGAGTGATCAGCCCCAACGTTTTTGATTCTCACAACTGGGAGCGGGGAGGGGCACAGGTACTGTGATTTGGTGGGTAGATACCAGGAATGTTGCTAAGCATCCTTCAGTGTGGGGAACAGGCCTCCAAAACAAAGAAATGTCTAGCCCAAAGTCAGTAGTACTGAGGTTGAGAAACCCTGTGTTAGATTACGCAGGAATGGTAGAGATGAGTGTATTAATCTTCTCAGACTGCATAACAAAAGAGCACAAAATGAGTAGCCCACAGTTCTGGAGGCTAGAAGTCCAAGATTAAGGTGCTGGTAGGGTTGATTTTTGGCTTGTGAATGGCTGTCTTCTTACTGTGTCCTCACATGGCCTCTTCTCTGTGTCTGCCTGGAAAGAGAGAGCATAATCTTGGGTGTCTTCCCCTTATAAGGATACTAGTCATATTGGATTAGTCCCTACCTTTGTGACCTAATTTAACCTTAATTACCTCCATAAAGGCCCTGTCTCCAAATATAGTTCACATCGAAAGTTGGGGCTTCAACATATGAATTGGGGTTGCGGGGGGCACAATTCAGTCTGTAGCAGTGGGAATAAAGAATGAATTAGGTAATGTATAGACAAATACATTTATTATTTTAAAGTAAAGAACTACTCAGATTATAACATCCCTCGTTTCTGTAACTATGTGGCTATAGTCAATATTTATAATTTCCTTCCCCCTGCTATTCATTTCATATTCTCTTTGCATTTGGCAAGCATCTCAGCTGGTCATGGTTTCTAGTTTGGGAGGGTAGCTCAAACTTTCATTCCTGAAGTCTGTGCCATTAGCAGCCCTGGCTGTTCTGGGTCAAGGTAGTTTTTGGTAACTTTTATAGCAGGATATGGGAATACCAAGAGAAGCTTCAGGAGATACGTATTCAAGGCATATTCCTCTTTGTCATCTCCAAGCCTAGTTGTGGTAGCAACTCTATTTTCTTGAGAGTCAGGATTAGTTAACCAATTCAGTACAGCAATCCCCTCTTTGATTTACTGGCAAGGGCGCAGTGGCTCACGCTATAATCCCAGCACTTTGGGAGGCCAAAGTGGCCAGGTGTTGCAGTATCAAATTCCAGTTTAATGGAACCACTGCTCATTCTCTAACGGAAGTATTTCTCCCTTGGGAACTAAGAACTCTAGATAATAAGACTAAACTTGTGGGGATAGAGTGCAAAAATTTCATGTAGTGGATCATCGGGGTAATAGTAAGGAACCACTCATTTCTACCTCAGTTTTCAGACCTGTGAATTCTGGCTATGGGAGAAACAACACCATATATTAATCATTGATTTACAGCACACGGAGCATCCTGGAGGACATTGCCCCAGCCCTGCAAGGAGTTGCCAGCCAGCTAGTGCTATTACTTCTAAAGCCCATTTCAGTTTCTGTCACCCAGTGGCTTCAGGGTGATGAGGAAAATGGTAAAATCAGTGAATTCCATGGGTCTGAGCCTATAGCTGCATTTCATTTGCTACAGAGTAAGTTCATTGATCAGAAGTAATGCTTCTGTGTAAAATACCATGATGGTGAATAAAACCTCTCACAAGTTCACACATGGTGACTTTGGCAGAAGCATTGTAGGCAGGGAAGACAAATTTATATTCAGAGCAAATGTCTATTCCAGTGAGAAATAAGTGCTGCCTTTTCTATGATGAAAATGGTCTAGGGACCATATCAGTGGCTCTGTTGATCTCTGTTGCTGGCAGATTGATCACTCAGTAGTAGCTGTAGACAGATCAGCCTTGGTGAGTAAGTCCATGTTGCCAAGCCTATGCATCACCTCCATCCTTGCTACATAACTGATTTTCTCAGCTTTATGTTTACATTGTGAAATGATTATCACAATCAAGTTATTTGATGTCACATCTGTCACCTCACATAGTTACTATTTATGTGTGTGTGATGAGAACACTATTTGCTATCTTAGTAATATACCATACAGTATTTTATTACCTATAGTCGCCATGCTGTATATTAGATTTCTAGAACTTAGTCATCCTATAACTGAAAATTTGTACCCTTTGACTAATATCATCCCATTCCAGCCCACTCCCCTCCCAGTCCCTAGCAACCATCATTGTACACTCTTTTTCTATGAGTTCAACGTGAATTTTTTGTTTTTTGTTTTTTGAGATGGCATTTTGCTCTTGTCACCCAGGCTGAAGTACAGTGGTACTATCTCGGCTTACTGCAACCTCTGCCTCACTGGTTCAAGTGATTCTCCTGCCTCAGCCTCTCGAGTAGCTGGGATTACAGGTGTCCACCACCATGCCCAGCTAATTTTTTGTATTTTTAGTAGAGGTGGGGTTTTGCTATGTTGGGCAGGCTGATGTCAAACTCCTGACCTCATGATCCGCCCACATCAGCCTCCCAAAGTGCTGGAATTACAGGTGTGAGCCACCATTCCCAGCCAATAAGTTCAACTTTTTACATCCCACATGTAATTGAGGTCATACAATATTTGCTTTTCACTGTCTGGCTTATTTCACTTAGCACAGTATCTTCCACACTCATCCATATTGTCACAAATGGCAGGATTTCCTCCTTTTCATGATTGAATAGTATTACATTGTGGATATAGATCATATTTTCTTTATCCATTCATCTGTCAGTGGACACTTAAGTTGTTCTCATGTCTTGGCTGTTGTGAATAATGCTGCAATGAACGTGAGAATGCAGATATCTCCTTGAGTTACTGGTTTTGTTTTCTTTGGGTGTATACCCAGAGGAAATTATATGGTAGTTCTATTTTTAATTTTTCAAGGAACATCCATACCATTTCCTGTGATGGCTGTCCAATTTACATTCCCATCAAGAGGGCATCCTGCATCCTTACCAATGCTTGTTTTCTTTTGTCTTTTTGATAATAGACATCCTGACAGATGTGAGATAATATCTTATTGTGGTTTTGATTTTCCTGAGGATTAGTGATTTGAACACCTTTACATGTATCTGTTGGCTATCTGTATATCTTCTTTGAAAAAAAAATACATAAAAATATATATTCAGGTCCTTTGTCCCCCCCCCGCCTTTTTTTTTTTTTTTGAGACAGGGTCTTTATCACCCTGGCTGAAGTTCACTGGCATGATCATGGCCCACTACAGCCTCAAACTCCTGGGCTCAAACTGTCCTGCTGCCTCAGCCTCCCAAGTAGTGGGATTGTAGGCACGTGCTGCCATGCCCAGCTTCTTTGCCCATTTTTTAATCAGCTCATTTGTTCTTTTGCTTTTGAGTTATATGAGTTTCTTATGTATTTTGGATATTAACTTGTTATCAGATATATGGTTTGCAAATATTTTCTCCAATCTGTAGGCTGTCTTTTTATTGTACAGAGCTTTTTAGTTTGATACAGCTCTTGTGAATAATGCTGCAGAGCTTTTTAGTTTGATACAGTACCACTTGTTTATTTTTGCTTTTGATGCCCTATCAAAAAAAAAATCATTGCTAAGACCCGTGTCTCCCCGATGTTTTCTTCCAAGAGTCTTAGTTTTTAATCTAAAATCTTTAATCTTTTAATTTTAATACTTAATCCAGTTCAAGTTAATTTTTGTGAATGATATAAGATAGGAGTCCAGTTTCATTCTTTTGCATGGATATATCCAGTTTTCCCAGCACCATTTATTGGAGACTATCTTTAATGCCTAATCACTTAGTTCATGATGCCATCAGGTAAAGACAGGGGTGCCTAGAGAAAGAAGCTAACTAACATCCATAGAGCAGGTCATCTTTTTCTACTGATTATTAAAATCGTCCTTGACCAAGGTTATTTTTCAGTGAGCAGTCATATGGAACTCAAATATCTTTACTCTCTGAAGCTATTTGGAGTGGTCCATTCATATAGCTTTCTCCAGAGGTCCCTTCCCTGTCCATCCAGCCAAACCATTAGTTGTTGCACATGAAACAGTGTAGATCCATACCTCTTGGCCATCTGTCCTTCTAAAGTAAGATAAACAACCAAGTGTAGTGTTCATAGATCTGCTCACTGAGAATATTTTCCTTCACCACAGTCCTTCAGGGCCTTGCATGTGTGGGGCTCTGGTGCTGTGGCTGTTCACTTTTGTGTGGTATCAGAATATTGTGCAGAACCATTCGTAAACCTGGCCTATATTTTTTCTTCCTTGGCCAACTGGTCATAGAGAATTCCCTGTGAGGCTAGAGACAAGTTGATAGGAAGGAGGCAATTTAGCAGGAGTAGGGACCATGGGAATTTGAACCACTTGCCTCTGCAACTTATGTGTGCCAGCAGGACCTGTACAACCCTTATAATTCTTGATGACAGAATGCTGCTGTTAACACTAATTTTGTTGCTTGATGAGTCAGATAGCAATACCCGGTTAATAATGGGTAGTTCATATGGCAATTTAGTGACCTGTGGTCAAGTGTTCAGTCAAAGCCAGAAGCACTTTCTCGAAAGGAGAATAGTTATCTGCAGAGGATGGTATAACTTTCCTCTAAAAACCCTAAAGTTCTGTGGTGTTATTTGCCTACAGGTGCCTGCCAAGGGCTTTATAAAGCATGACTGTCTGCTGCAGACACTTCGATGACCATCAGATTTGCTGGGTCGCGTGACCCACGTGGCAGGCTTTCCATTCAAAGAAGAATTAAAATTCCATTTCTGTGCCCGCCTTCATCTAAGGGACATTTTCACTAGAGTATAGTATTATTTGATAGAATGTATACAGGGGCCTATGATATACCAGTGGATATATACTTTACCCACAGTTATGATACTTGCTGTTCTTTATTTTGGCATTTTAAGTTAGTATAGTTTGGGGGTTCAAATTTTAAATTGGGAGGTACACTTACCAAGTTGAAATGGATTTATGAAAAGTTAAAAGGAAACTTTTCTTTTTGAGACAGTCTCACTCTGTTGCCCAGGCTGGAGTGCAGAGGCACGATCTTGGCTGTCTACAAGCTCCGCCTCACAGATTAATGTGATTGTTGTGCCTCAGCAACATGAGTTGCTGGGATTACAGGTGTGTCTCACCATGCTTGGTTAATTTTTGCATTTTTAGTAGAGACAGGGCTTTGCCATTTGGCCAGGCTGGTCTTCAACTCCTGGCCCCAAGTGATCCACCCATCTCAGCCTCCCAGAGTGCTGGGATTACGGGTGTGAGCCACTGTGCTTGGCAGGGGATTTTAAAAATAATTTTTTTGCAGGGAGGATTTGCTAATTAAAGACTTATACATTGGATATGGGGGAAAAATCTGCTTCACTTATGAAAGAGCAATAGACATGCATGGCTTATTTTTGCCTTCTTCAAATTTTTTTTTTTTATTAGAGACTTTATCTCTAATAAAACTTATGAAGACAAGGTCTCCTTATGTTGCCCAGGCTGGTATTGAACTCCTGGGCTCAAGTGATCCTCCCACTTTGGCCTCCCAAAGTGTTGGGACTACAGGAGTGAGCCACTGTGCCCAGCCTAAAAGAAATTTATGTTGAACTGATGTATCATTTGAAATTTACCTAAATTTTAATTTGGAAGTATAATTAATATGTTACTGAATTTAATTATTGTTTCACATGTAGCATAAAATGATTTCAGAGACCTGTGATAGTTTTTTATTATTTCTTTCGTCGGAATTGTTGCTTAAGCTTTTAAAGAGAACTATTAGATTATTGCATGCTGGTACTATTTTATAAATTCTGTTATTATCTTTACATCTATCATAGGATTTATCTGCATTATTTTATTCCAAGAACAAAAGAACTGCCAATCTTTTACGTAGGAACTAATGATTTTTTTTTTCTTTTTGAGACGGAGTTTTGCTCTTGTTACCCAGGCTGGAGTGCAATGGCGCAATCTCGGCTCACTGTAACCTCCGCCTCCTGGGTTCAGGCAATTCTCCTGCCTCAGCCTCCTGAGTAACTGGGATTACAGGCACGCACTACCATGCCCAGCTAATTTTTTGTATTTTTAGTGGAGACGGGGTTTCACCATGATGACCAGGATGGTCTCGATCTCTTGACCTCGTGATCCACCCGCCTCGGCCTCCCAAAGTGCTGGGATTACAGGCTTGAGCCACCGCGCCTGGCCGGAACTAATGATTTGTATCACAAAAATACTTCTCATACTTCTGGTATATAACTCTAGATGAACAGGAAAGTTATTAACCTATTTAGAAGAAGGTATTTTTGGCTGGGTGTGGTGGCTCATGCCTGTAGTTCCAGTTACTCACTTAGGCAGGAGAATCACTTGAACCCAGGAGGTTGATTGAGGCTGTAGTGAGCCAGGACTGCTCCATTGTACTCCAGCCTGGGTGACAGAGCAAGACCTAGACAGCCCTTTTGACTTCAAAGGTCTTAAAATGATCATGGCTTAGTCTAGCTAATTTGAATTCACTATGGAGATGTTTCATCAAATTTTTGTAAAAAATATGACATGTATAACTCCTAAAAAGACGCTTAACTTTCTAGCAAGGGCAAAAATAGGATCTCTACAGAGGTGAAAATTTAGCTCAATACAATAAGGCTAAGTAGTAAGGCCTGGAAAGAAAAAAAATGGTGAGTCAACTGAGAACTCTGAGGCTTCAAAAACAGGTTATCTGGGAAGCAGATCTAAGAATAAGAACAGTTGCTAGGTGTTGTGAGAAGTAAAGAGATGGGAATTCGAGTATGGTGGTGAACGCAGTATAAATGAAGTCGAAATACAGTACCAAAATGGCTAAACTTGACAAGTAAAATTAAAAATAAGCAGATGATAATCACAAAATAAAATTGATAGGAAATCATAACAGCCTAACGTTAGCAGTCTCTTACTCACTAAAGCAAACCTAGTATGTAGTATGTGCTCTCAGTAAATGTGGATTAAATGAATGAGATTTCTAAAGTATCCTCAGTTTGCAAACTAGATACTGATCAGGAAGGGGAAATTGGTTGGTGGGTAGGTTACAGTTGCAATTGAGCAGGATTATTGAGTGTGAAGCAACTGAAGAGTAACAGGGTAATTGCTCAAATACAGGAGAAGCTGGTTGCAGTACAGAGGTTGCCTTTAAATGAGAGGCTTACAGACCCTTTCACTTCAGTGCCAGAGATGTTATAGATGTCATCTATATTAATAGGTAACAACTTTATTTTTAAAAACGATTTTACATGCTTATATTTTTCATGTAGGAAGTTTTCTCTTTCTTGATATTCTACTTCTTGGGTAAATCCGCATATTTGTGATTGGTGTATTGAATTTTTTTATTAATCCAAATTAAAAACTGGGTTGGGTTGGGGAGCAAAAAAAAAAAAAAAAAATTGGTGGAGGCTATCTAAATGATGTTTGCATCTTTGCGCAACAAATAGTTAAGAGGCTTCCTGCTAGGCCCTATGAACAGATTTGTATGTATTTGTGTGCATGCATGTGTACCTTATTATGTATCCTTAGTAGGTCCACCATTATTATTGCTAAAGTACAAAATTTAAGGTGACATCCTCTTACATGCCACTGTCCTTAGTTTCTAGCTGCCACCTAAATGCTAAAGAACATATTTTGCTGATACCTGTATTGAATATCCTCTTTTAGAAAAAATTGAATTTCTCTACATTTTTTCTTTTCTATCACCTGTTTTTCCCTTCTTGACCTATTCTGCTCCTCTCTACTTTATACAAATAACTGTTCTTTTCTTTTGCACTAGGGTGAGGAAATTCGATGTCAGTATGTTGTGACTTGTGCAGGACTTTACTCAGACCGTATTTCAGAGTTGAGTGGCTGCACTTCTGATCCTCGAATTGTACCATTCCGAGGAGATTACCTGCTCTTGAAGCCTGAAAAATGTTATCTTGTAAAAGGAAATATTTATCCGGTAGGTAATGACGCTTCCTACTTCTCATTTTTCTCAAGCAGGTGGTGGGCATAAAGGAGATGAAAACAACTTTTACTTGGGTCAGAAGAGAGATTTTGAAGGAGTGTTTGTAAGCATTTCATCTGTTTCTCTTGCAGTTAAATCCCTAAGTCTTTATCCCAGTGTCATGGTTATTAAATTGTAATTAATTGCCTGCAATTACATGTCTCCAGAAAGCATGAGTGCACTATGGGAAGTGCTATCAAGAAGGAACTGGATTCTTCCTCCTCTCTGGTGGTGGGAATGGGAGAACCTTCCCTTATGGAAGTCCCTGATACCCAACCCTTTTCCTCAGTTCATTATCTATAGGTTCAGAAAAGGGATGTGGCCACTCTGTAGTTTTAGGGAATAGAAGACAGAGGTGTTTACATGAAGAGTTTCATTCTTCTGTCTGGAAATAGCCTGGAAATGAATGAATCTCTTAAAATATATTAGGTTGAACCAGATGAAATAGTAAGTATTCAGCTATTTTATATTTCTGACCTTGACAAAACATGAATTTCACCTGCTTCAACTGCATGTATCTGTACTTTGCAGAATGCTCTGCTATGAATGTGTGTTTTTTTCTGACAGCTCTGATTTTACTTGCCAGTCACAGACATCCCTTGTGAGAGACAGAGAATAACCTGAAGTAGGACAGTTCATCTTTTTTTTCCTTTAACCAGAAAGATGCATAGATGGAACAATGTATTAGTGTTAATAGCATCAGAGTTTCTCTTTCTTTTTCTTATTGAGACAGAGTCTCACTCTGTCACCCAGGCTGGAGTGCAGTGGTATGATCTTGGCTCACTGCAACCTCTGCCTCCCGGGTTCAAGTGATTCTTGTGCCTCAGCCTCCGAAGTAGCTAGGATCACAGGTGCACACCATCACACTCGGCTAATTTTTGTGTTTTTAGTAGAGATGGGGTTTCACCATGTTGCCCAGGCTGATTTCGAACTCCTGATCTCAAGTGATCTGCCTCCCTCAGCCTCCTAAAGTGTTGGGATTACAGGCATGAGCCACTGCACCCAGCCAGCATCAGGGTTTCTTGTGTGCATTTCTAAGCAGAAGCATGTTAATGGAAAAGTATATCTGAGTACAGTTCACAGTACAAATTAAATGCATGGAAGGAAAGTATTTTATGTTACCGATTGAATGTTTGCATCTCTAATAACATGGAATGTGAAATGAGGCTGTTACTTACTCTGTTAAATTTATAGGTCCCAGATAGCAGATTTCCTTTCCTAGGAGTTCACTTCACACCAAGGATGGATGGCAGTATTTGGCTAGGTCCTAATGCAGTTCTTGCCTTTAAACGAGAGGGTTACAGACCCTTTGACTTCAGTGCCACAGATGTTATGGATATAATTGTCAATAGGTAACAACATTATTTATTTTAAAAAATGATTTTATGTGCTTATATTTTTAATGTGGGAAGTTTTATCTTTCTTGATATTCTACTTACTGGGTAAATACCCACATTTGTGATTGTTACATCAAATTTGTTTTAATCCAAATTAAAAGCTTTGGGTGGGGGAGCGAAAAAAAAAAAAAGAATGTTTAGAATAAGCATCTGAGTACAGTTCACAGTTCACATTTTAACTCCCTCCAGAAAGTTCTGATGAGCCAGGGTAATGTCTTGGTTAAAAAGGCCTAGAGTCATTCATGTATCTGGCAGTCCAAATCTTGTATTCCTAACCTTCCAGTTTTATTTGTTTGGGGCTGGGAGTAGAATCTCTCAAAATCAGTAGATGGCTATTTAAATAAAAACATTTCAAGCCAGTCTCCATCATTTCGTAAGCCACTGGAGAAATTATTGATGACCAAAGTCATTTCCTTGTGTAGGAAACTGACAATATGATTGTGTTAACCTAAGATGTAGATTCTTTACTATTGTAAAAAATAACTGAATTAGGTATTTTGACTGGTCCTTCCAGCAATGTTTCTCTCTAAAGGATTCCACATCAAAATCACTAGAAAGCTTTTAAAGCCATACTTGAGTTTCACCCTCCATGGATTCTGAAAAAGAAAGTTTAGGATGGAGCTTCTTGGCATGTGTACTTGTAAAACTATATAAATATATGCATCTAGGTTTTACAGAGTCTTATGTGACAATCACAGCTAAAGTTTTTTTTGTTTTTTCTTTTCTTATTTTTTTGAGATGGCGTCTTGCACTGTCCCCCAAGCTGGAGTGCAGTGGCATGATCTTGGCTCACTTCAGCCTCTGTCTCCTGGGTTCACGCTATTCTCTTGCGTCAGCCTCCCACGTAGCTGTGATTACAGACACACACCACCACACCTGGCTAATTTTTTGTATTTTTAGTAGAGATGGAGTTTCACTATGTTGGCCAGACTTGTCTCGAACTCCTGACCTCATGCGTGATCTGCCTGCCTCGGCCTCCCAAAGTGCTGGGATTACAGGGGTGAGCCACTGTGCCTGGTCCATTTTGGTTTTTTGAGACAGGGTATCACTTTGTGACTCACTGCCACCTCAACCTCCTGGGATCAATCAGTTCTCCCACTTCAGTCTCCAAGTAGCTGGAACTACAGGCAGATGCTACCATGCCCAGATAATTTTTGTGTTTTCTGTAGAGTTTCGCCATGTTACCCAGGCTGGTCTCGAACTCCTGGGCTCAAGCAATCCACCTGCCTTGGCCTCCAGAAGTGCTGGGATTACAGGCATGTGTCGGGGTCCGGCACGTCTGCCAGGGGACTACCGACCTGCAGGAGTCCCCAAGACCGCCAACGTAGATGTCTCGTTCAACCTGAGGGAGAGTGCGCGGAAGTGAAAGAAAATAGAAAAGTGGAGTCTGGAGGGCTGGCTTAGGCTATGTCCAAGCAGCAATTTTATTTTTGCAATATGTTTCCTTATATACTTTTCTGAAGTCAAAGTTGTTTACACCAGATCAACGTACTTAAGTTACAGTAAGCAAGTTATGCCCAATAAGTAAGTTAAGTCCAGTAAGTAGGTTACGCCCAGTCAGTAGGTTCCTTCCAGTAAGTAGGTTACGCCCAATAGGTCAAGGTAAGTAAGTTACAGTCACGCCCTGTAAGCTATGGTAAGTAAGTTACAGTTACACCCAGTAAGTTACGGTAAGTAAGTTACCAAGTGTAAATACTTAAGTTAATATTTTACAATGAAGGTAACAAGGGTCCAAAATGAACACAATCAAGCAATAAACCATAAGAAGCCGAAAGTGAACACATTGCCTCCCAAGTCCTCATATCCATAAAGTAAGGTCTGTTAATTATTTAGAATAACATAGTCCCTCTCTCGGTTCCTGCTTTCCCTCAGCTCGACTCCCCCAACCAGGGATCTGTGTCTGGGCTCAAGCTCACCGTATGGCGAGGCCCATCTCCCAGGGGCCTCACACGGGAGAGATCCCCACAGATTCCCTCAGGCATGAGCCACCATAATCTGCCTCAACAACTTTACCTCAACAGAGGTAAAGTATTTTACCTCTGGCTGGCCAAAGAAAACTAGGGTAGATGTCCTGTTTCTTTCATACCCTGCCTTTTAGGTGTGTTGAAGGCATGTGATATTTGCATTAGAAAGCCTTGATACGGGTAGGCTTTATAGAGTCCCAGTTTGAAACTAGCACTCCTTGGGAATTTCAGTTTAGAAGATGTTTACCTCTTTTTTTTTTGAGGGGGGGAGGTCAAAGTCTCACTGTTGCCCAGGCTGGAGTGCACTGGCACAATTATTGCTTACTGGAGCCTCAAACTCCTGGGCTTAAGCAGTCCTCCTACTTCAGCCTCCCTAGTAGCTGGAACTACAGCCACACAGCACCACACTCAGCTCTGTTTACCTCCTGAGCTGATGAGGTTTCTTTCTGATATTGGCCAAAGGTTGATTTTCATTGGTTGGTTGATTGATTGAGACAGGGTCTCTCTCTGCCACCCAGGATGGAGTGCAGTGGCACAATCTCAGCTCACTGCAGCCTCTGCCTCCTGGATTCAAGCAACTCTCCTGCCTCAGCCTCTTTGATTAGCTGGGATTACAGGCATGTACCATCACACCTCACTAATTTTTGTATTTCTGGGAGAAACAGGGTTTTGCCATGTAGGCCAGTCTGGTTTTGAACTTGTGACCTCGAGTGATCCGCCCACCTCAGCCTCTCAAAGTGTTGGGATTACAGGCATGAGCTCCTGGCCTTGATTTTCTTTTAATCTGCAGTGCTTCTGACTTTGCCTAGATTTTTGTGATGACATAAAAAAAAAATCTAAGGCCGGGCATAGTGGCTTACTCCTGTGATCCAAGCACTTTGGAGGCCAAGGCAGGCAGATCACCTGAGGTCAGGAGTTCAAGACCAGCCTGACCAACATGGCGAAACCCTTCTTAAAAAAAAAAAAAAAAAATCTAATAATTGTAAAGTTATTTTATAGTAATAAAGAATTCTATTCTCTCATAAAGATCTTTTTTTCTCTGTTTTCAGTGGCTTGATTAAATTGGCATACCAGAATTTTTCCTATGGAGTTACTGAAATGTATAAAGCCTGTTTTCTTGGTGCAACAGTGAAGTATCTTCAAAAGTTCATCCCTGAAATTACTATCAGTGATATACTTAGGTAAGGAAAAGTGATAGGGAGTGTAAATACAGTCCTTACCTATGTGAACTTGAGAGGTGGGTTTGTCTGACTTGGTGATAGTAAGCACCATTTCAGAGTCAGTTCACATATACACTGAATTTTTGTTTGCTCACTTTCCCAATGTGTTGTTGAATTCCCTTGCATTACATGTATTGGGCGTTGCTACATTATAGCCCTTAGTGCTGGTCCATTTATACTATCCGGTCTTCCTTACAGCTCTAACCTGAAATCTCCATGACAGCTCTATCGTGATGCCAGCTTAGCCTTTTTTGTCTATCACTCATGATAAAAACATCTTGCCTGAAATTTAAAAAATCTCTCTGGCTAGTTACTCTTGTAATTCCAAAGCCTTTTGACTTTAATTTTGTATAAGATTATTGATAACTGTGTTAACTAATTAGATAATAAACACATTAAAACATTGTATTTTGATTGAGTCTTAACACTTAAAAAAAACTTTTAGGTTTGATGGTACATGTGAAGGTTTCTACATAGGTAAACGTGTGTTGGGGTTTATTGTACATATTATTATTATTTTTTTTTTTTTTTTTGAGACGGAGTTTTGCTCTTGTTAACCAGGCTGGAGTGCGATGGCACGATCTCAGCTCACCGCAACCTCCGCCTCCTGGGTTCAGGCAATTCTCCTGCCTCAGCCTCCTGAGTAGCTGGGATTACAGGCATGCGCCACCATGCCCAGCTAAGTTTTTGTATTTTTAGTAGAGACGGGGTTTCACCATGTTGACCAGGATGGTCTCGATCTCTTGACCTCATGATCCACCTGCCTCGGCCTCCCACAGTGCTGGGATTACAGGCGTGAGCCACTGTGCCTGGCCCGTTATTGTACATATTGTTTTATCACCGATATTAAGCCCAGTATCTAGTAGTTATCTTTTCTGCTTCTCTCCCTCATCCCTCCCTCCCACCTTACGTAGACCACAGTATCTATTGTTTCTTTCTTTGTCTTCATGAATTCTCATTTAGCTCCCACTTATAAATGAGAACATTTGGTATTTGGTTTTCTGTTCCTGTGATAGTTTGATAAGGATGATAGCCTTCAGCTCCATTAAAACCTTTTAGAAACACTCGTAGACATGGCATCTCATCTTGCTTCTTTTCTTCTTTTGTTCTTTCTTGGGCCTGATTGCACCGAGGGACTCTACTTTTAGGAAAGAAGTGGAAAGCAGTGTGGTAACAATCAGAGTCCTTGCTGCAGGGGTGTGGGGCAAAGTAAAGATAACTTATATCTTTTATTCTTAAAGATAAAAGACTTTCTAGACTTATTCTGTAGATTATTCTTAATACCACCCAAGCCTATTTTTTTCCCTCTTTGGCTAATGTTTTTAGTGTTCAGCTTTTTTCCTACGCAAGCTATTCATTAGGCCTAATCAGCAGTATACTTTGAGGTACTCACCCTGCATTTACAATCCATCTATCCGTGAATCTTCTGAGCACTAGATGTATGCCTTCTCTGTAACAGCTGCTGAACTAGCCTGGTAAAAAAATTCAACAGGCTTGACTGTGTATCTGTGAAGAGAGCAATAATCATGTCAGCTGTCTCCCTTAGGGGAGTGTCCTGGTTTAAAGTCGACTCTATTATTCTGAGACCGGCCTGTTTGAATCCTTAGAAGTATTAAAACTCAGCTAATGTTTTTACTCTTATATCTTTGACTCCTCTATTCACCAAAATGGAAGGGGTAAAAATGTCTAGCCATTATTTTCTTTCACTCACTTATAAATAAGGGCTTTTATGTTTTCAGTGATCTGCTTTAGCAAACTTGCGATGTTTCATATCTGAAAATAGATAGGTCAAATCTGGTTTCTATTACTGCTATTAATGTTCCTTGGAAAACACACTAGGTGAGCATAGTGAATTCTGTGTAAAAATAGTTGCAGTGAATTCACTGCCTGTATTCAGTTACCACCCTTTCATAGAAGCCTGAGGAAAACTTTTAGATCACAGGATTTCATATAGTACAACTAGACTTTGTTTGGGCTTGTGGGTATTAGTGAACACTCCTGTTTCTGGGTGTAAGGGTGTGAATTTCAGATACCAGTTTCATTGGCATGTAGTAGAAAAGGGCACATAGCATTGTAGACACGTGCATTTGGAGACAAATTCAACCCAATCACAGATGACTTCCTCTTTAAAGAGAGAAAAGCTGACTACATTCAGCAATTTGATTTGCTTTGTCTCTTGATTCCTGTAATTATTAAGTGCAGGAAATTATTAGTAACAAAAGGAAAGTTGTAGCAGATATGTTTTTGGGGTTTTGGAGGGGGAAGATATGTTTGATACCATTTGTATACGTTTTAAAACAAGTATAGCAAAACCATATGTTGCTTATGAATTACACATGTGGTATGAAAATAAAAATGAGGGCCAGGTGCAGTGGCTCTCGCCTGTAATCCTAGTGCTTTGGGAGGCCGAGGTGGGTGGATCACCTGAGGTTAGGAGTTCAAGACCAGCCTGGCCATCATGGTGAAACTCCATCTTATTTAAAAAAATAAAAATAAAAAAACAAAAACGATTAGCGGAGTGATAAACACCCAATTCAGGAGAATGGTTACCTCTGGGGAGGGAAGAGAATGGGATTTTGAGAGTTCTACAGAGGCTTCTATCATATCAGTAATGCTTTATTTCTTAAGCTGTTTGATAAGAAAATGAGTATTCATTGTGTTATTCTCTGTTCCTTATTATAGCCTGAAATACTAAATAATGAAAATAAGATCAATAGACTCTTCCACAGCTTGAAACCTAAGTCCTGCCTTGTTGCATTTGTCTTGCAACCATATATTAAAACCATAAATACCCTTAGTATTACTGTGAAAGTACATCAGACAGTTGTAGATAGTAAAAGATAGTTGAAGCAATGCTTTCAGTGTAGTAAAACTACAGCTAATGTTTTTACTCTTTCAGGATGGTGTCCTTAAATTTCAGTAACCACTAAAGGACACCCAGGATGACGTCTCATAGCTTAGCTAGAGCATTTTGGACAGTAATTTACTGGTGAACATTAGATTGGAATGTAAATTATAATCTGTTAAATATATGCATTAGATAAACTTCTCATTGCTACATCATAGTCTCTAAGATTCTTAATGTTAGTTCTAGGCCAGGCATAATGCTCATGCCTGTAATCCTAGTGCTTTGGGAGGCTGAGGTGGGAGGATCGCTTGAGCCCAGGAGTTTGAGACCAGCCTGGGCATTTTTTTTTTTTTAATTAGCTGGGCGGGTGGTGCATGCTACTAGGGAGGATCTCTTGAGCTCAGAAGGCTGAAGCTATGGTGAGCCATTATTTTACCACTGTCCTTCAGCCTGGGAGACAGAACAAGACCCTGTCTAAAAAAGAAAAATAAAATATATATATATATATATGTATGTATGTATGTATGTATATATACATATATATTTTTATATATATATGAGTGTGTATATACATATATATAGCTCTAAACTTTAAAAATTTGTTGTGTGATTAGTTTTGACATGTTAATCTAACAGCATTTGTATCTGTTAACACTGTAAAGATGTAAAAGATGAAGACATATATGTCACAGCTCTCCCTTTTTCAATTTGGAAAATGTCTTCTGTTGGGAATTCTAGAGTAAACTTTCAGGCAGGATGTTTTCATAACAAGTGATAGCTAGACTGTGTGAAACAGAAAGGCAAAAGTCAAACATTTCTATAATAAAGTTGTAATGGTTTAAGGGTTTAAGGTGATCTAGATTAGGGCTTCTCAGTATTGTTGCTATTGACATATTGAGCCAAAAAATAATTATTTATTGTGGAGGACTGTCCAGTTCATTGTAGAATGTTTAACAGCATCCTTAACCTCTACTCATTCTCCTAATTGTGACAATGAAAAGTATCTCGACATTGCCAGATGTCCTCTAGGGGGCAAAATCTCCCTTGGTTGAGAACCACTCGAGTAGAGAATTTGGTAACCTTCACACTATGAAATACTAACAAGAGTTTGGAGAAAATACAATAAGCATCCTTGAAATACATGTAGCTGAGAGTGAGGGAAAGTAAGGGGCATCCCAGAGCAAAAAACAAAAAGAAAATTAAAATTCATACTAAAAGGAATTGGTGCTGATGCTGACTTGGAGAGGTGGGGATGGTTTGCTAATTTTAATAAATGAGGGGCTTCAGTTCTATTTTTAATTGATGTGTGACTTACATATAATAAAATATGTAGATCTTAAGTGCTTAGTAAATTTTGATAATGTACAAGCCATATCCACCACACAAAACAAGATATAGGACATTAGGGACTTGAATACTAATTGCCACTGAAGTGCTGAAAAAGAAACCTTGGGTCTATACAAGGTAGAAAGTTGGAACTGAAACTCTAATGTAAGGCCCACTAGGGACTCTTGAAAGGCTATACCCTCAGACGAAAGGAAGTCTAGAAAAAAAAAAAATATTCCCCTTGGCACTGGGAAGTATTAAGCAGTTTTGTCTATCTTGGTATTAGGGGTGGGGAGTGGGAGAAATCTTTCCAAAAATCTAGAATCCCTCACAAGTGCTTAGATTTTTGAATGTATTAACACCAGCTTGGTTTAGGAGCTGTAAGCTACAAATTAACTGAGAAAGTGGAGCCAGACATTTCTGGATCCTTCTTCAAACTTTCTCTCTCCCTCCTTCAAGTAAATTAGAGAAACTGAAAATCAGGTAATTTGACCACAGAGTAACTATCGATACTAAGCAATTACTGCTTAATAATTATTTTTAAGATTTTTGGTGGGGGGAGTCTCACTCTGAATCCTAGGCTGCAGTGCAGAGGTGCAATCTCAGCTCTCTGCAACCTCTGCTTCCCAGGTTCAGGTGATTCTCCTGCCTCAGCTTCCTGAGTAGCTGAGATTAAAGGCATGTGCCACCATGGCTAATTTTTTTTTGTTTTTTGTTTTTTGTTTTTGATTTTTAGTAGAGATGGGATTTTGCCACATTGGCCATGCTGGTCTTGGACTCCTGACTT